GACATGAGAAATATTTATAACCAATAAATAGTTGTAAAATTAATGTGCCGTGTAATTCGTTTTTTAACTACGTGATTTTGTCATATTAATTTCATGTACCTGCTGGTACTTTTTAAAAATAACTTAAAAATTATATCTTGACTGCTGTGCACTTTCGACACTTTCAATGGCGCGCGTTTTTCCTTTACACCAGCTTATTCAACGCTCATTAATCCGACCAACCAGACGCACGAAAAGACTGTAACGTGCGAGATATTTCGATAAAGCGATTACTTCAGACGATCACTTCAATGATCATTCTATTATTTTTACAAGAAAGGATAAATTTATTGGTCATTGGAGAGCAAAGGGAAAATTCTCATAATATCTTATAGATCTGTAATCGATCGCAAGTGTCGTTTTGTAAACGCATCTTTTCACCCCAAAGTGTACTTAAATGCAAGAATTTCGTGTATATATTCTCTTGCTTGTGACGTCACATCAGTAATCAAGATGGCCGTAGCGAGGAAACGGCAGTTTCAAACGTGGGAAGAAGACATTGGTAAATTCAAGGTGGGACACGCGCGCGGAATGTTTTCGGAGTGATGATTGTTGTAGCCTCTCGACTATCGAGCCTGTGCGTGCGTCACTGATTCGCGGGTAACTGTTTTTGCCGATTGTTTTGATACTCTCGCGCGCGACCGCGACGTTACGTCTCAGGCTGGCGAACGACGCAGTCGTTACCGCGGCATACGTGTGGCGGGATGCTAACTGCCACTTCCGTCGTCTCCTAAAATATTTAATCGGGCTCTCGTCGGTATCACGTTAGCACGCGTTTTTCCGATCGAATCGTACTTACGCGAGTGTCCGGAGTGCCACGACGAACAGCCGGGAACAGAATGCCGGGTCGAGAAGCCAGGAAGCAGACATCGATACATCAGATATTTCCAGGTGTGTTTTGAATTACTTATTATTTATTTACTTTTCCTCGACTTTTACGGACAAACTTGCCGAGAGCAAGAAGATATCTCGAGTCGGAATTTAGTTCAGTACATTCATACCCAGTAAGCAAGGAACATTAAATTAACGTTTAGAAACGTTGACTTTATGTGCATTGTTTGGATATTTTTTAATAATATTGCATTTATATTTTTCACATGTTATTTTGCGATATGATTTTTCTGAATGTTGTTTAAACGTTTTAAAAACACCACAAAAAATATATTTTTCAAATGTTATTTTAACATTTATTTGAGATCAATGCAACATCTTAAAAATATTTCTGACGATTAAAACGTTATGGCAACCCTATTTCAACATTATTGAAACTTCCAAATCGCGATCAAAGTATGTTTATAATGATTTTCTACACAATATTAAACATTACATATTTGACAATATTACAGGTTCTTGAATACCATTGTAGTAACGTTATATTAATGATTTCTTGCTTACTGGGTAAAATTCTTCATTATTTAGCAAATAATTTTAACTTTATGAATCTCAAGTTATATCGATTAAGCTATATTTATTTCAAACGAGAGATTGATACAAACAATTGAATAACGGTCTGTAAATGTAAATCTATGGTTTGTTCATATTGCTTGCACTTTTCGCACTCGATCTATTCGCTCTTGCTTTTACCAGCATTCGAATAATTGCGTCCGTCTCATTCTAAGTGCGAAAAGTGCAAAGAGTGCAACATGAACAAATTTTGTATTGAATTATCCTCTTAATCAAAGGTCGTGGATGATTTGCTACAAATACCTACTTTAGAACGTACTCTCGCAAAGGACTCCGCAGAATTCTTATGGGGAACGGCTTTCGGCTAATTTTTTTAAAAATTTGATACGTGTAGTTCTCAACACGTAGAACAAAAGTGTCCATGACCCCAAGATCCGATCACGGGTAGTTTTCGAGATACAGCACTCCAAAGTTGGGCTTTTCGTACCTTATTGCAGCGTAGTGCGGGTGTAGTCGATGTCGATGTACGATGATGCTTACGATTAAAGTGGATGTACAGGTGCTTGCTTGTTTGTGTGTGTGCGTGTGTGTGTGTGTCTGTCTGTCAGGAGAAATAAGGACCCCACGGTTCGTCACTCCCGCAGTATTTTATAACTCCAAACCCTCTCTACTGTGTGTGTGTATGTGTGTGTGTGTGTGTGGGTGGGTGGTGTGCGCGCGCACATTATTCATGAATAATCTCAATATTCCGAGGATTATCTGGAAGTTCTCGGTCTGCGGCATGCAATGTGGTATTGAGCAATGACGTGTCAGGATATTTGATATTTCCCTGATGCAAAACCTACTACAAACCGCTGGCAACGTGTGCACATTTACCTAGAGTACGAGCTCCAGACTGACATGTCCATTAATTAACTCATTAGGATTGTCAGCAGCATTCTAATCATCCTTATTATCGATCTCGTATGAAATGAAGATCTGATGTCTTGTTGCATTACGAAATCTGGAATACAACCTAATTCTCAGAAAACCTGGCTCGTTGAAATGTTGATCAAGTTGAAATTCTTCATCATTATCCCTTAGCTTATCTTGAATATACGAAGGTGCTAGATTTATTTGATAAATGCCCACGAGATCGATAATAGGGATGATGAGAATGCTGCTGACAATCCTAATGAGCCAATTAATGGATATTATTGTACGTGTCAGTCTGGAGTTCGTACTTTAGGTACATATGCACACGTTACGTTTTGTGGTACCTAGGTTTTGCACATCAGGGAAATATCAAATACCCTGACATGTCATTGCTCAATGCCACATTGGATGCTCAATATTCCAGATAAACCTCGGAATATTGAGATTATTGATGAATAATGTGCGCGCGCACACCACACACACACACACAAGCAAAAAAACAAGCACCTATACACCCACTTTAATCGTAAGCATCGACATCGACTGCATCCGCACTACGCTGCAATAAAGTACGAAAAGTCCAACTTTGGAGTGCTGTATCTCGAAAACTACTCGTGATCGGACCTTGGGACCTTGGACACTTTTGTTTTACGTGTTGAGAACTACACATATCAAATTTAAAAAAAAATTAGCCGAAAGCCATTTCCCATAAGGATTCTGCGGAGTCCTTTATCGTATAATCTCGAACGTAATCTCGCTGATTTATATACCTAATAATGTCCTTTGGGTAATGAATTTTATTTTGTTGGCAACTGCCAATATTACACTTCTATGTGTTTATGATTGTACCGTGTAGAAATTTAAATTTTTATCGATGCATAGTATTATTGAACCTTACTATGTTTGCTTTTCTTTCTGTTCACTCTTTCATATCTTCAAATCCTATTAAAATTCCCAACAACAGTAAAACAAGAAATAATCAAAGTGTTATGAAGAAAGAAAGTTCATATTGTGTTTCATATATACATTTAGCTGTTAATCCATATTAGATTTAATATCTGCTTATATATACCAATTAAATACCCAGTAAGCAAGAAATCATTAATACAACGTTGCTACAATGATATTGAAGAACCTGTAATATTGTCAAATATGTAGTGTTTAATATTGTATCAAACATCATTATGAACATACTTTGACCACGATTTAGAAGTTTCAATAATGTTGAAATAGGGTTGCTATAATGTTTTAATCGGTAGAAATATTTTTAAGATGTTGCATTGACCTCAAATAAATGTTAAGGTAACATTTAAAAAATATATTTTTTGTAATGTTTTTAAAACGTTTAAACAACATTCAGAAAAATTATATCACAAAATAACATGTGAAAAATATAAATGCAATATTATTAAAAATATCCAAACAATGCACATAAAGCCGTCAACGTTTCTAAATGTTAAAGTTCTTTGCTTACTGGGTATACTCTATTTACAATGCAGCGAGTTACACAGTCAATATATTTTTTATTAAAATTAAGAGAACAATGAGGCTCCTCTGTGCTCATCTTCACTAGTGACATCTGAAACAGAAAAACATATGCCTAAAATTCTTATTACAGAATATATCGAAATGAAAAATAATGTTCATAAATAACAGTTGGGACTGATTGAGCATATTTGTCAAATATTTCGAAAATTTTTGTTTTAACAATCGATATAGATAATCTCGTAAAAATTAACGTGACATATAGCCTTTCTTTTTAGCCTAACGATTCTTTTCCTCACGTTAATTTATTGGTTTTTATTGATTGTTAGAGTAAAAGGAAAGTTTTTGAAATATATTACAAATGTGTTCAATCAATTCCAAGTGTCACTTTATGAACATATCTTTTTATTTCAGTATATTTTGCAAGAATTTTGGGTATACGTTTTTTCGCTTCTGACGTCAGTAATCAAGAGTTCCCTGGCGAGGAACCAGGAGCCTTAAATGAAGATAGAATGTCGTGATAGTCGAATATGAAATAATTTAGGAACAAGTATTTTAAACTATGCAAGAGATAATAAGTAATAATTTGTAGCATAAAGGTAGGACTATAAGTTTATATAACATTATATTTCAAGATTTCCTCCATTAGCTCCATTGGTTTTCAAGTGCAGTAAAATTTGCACAATTAATCTAGAAGCAAAATTTCAGAAATGTCATTAGTTCTATCCATGTACTCATAAAGTTCTATCCACGGCGGGGATGAGGGAAAAGACACACGCGGCCGACAACGTTCTCAAAGTGCTAATTTTATTTATAGGTTTTTCTTTATGACACAAATCACTTTTAGCATCTACATGAGTAAGAGTACGGCTATACGAGAATGAATTTGATACAGATCACTTATTAATGTAAATACAATGTTCCTCCTCAATTACACACTCTATCAACTAGATACTTAGAAAACACTGTACAACGCAGCTGAGAACTGTCGCGATTGATACTTTACAATATGGTACAACCACTCCTTGAAGCGAGACACGAGCTCCGAATCCGACTTGTCCGCTCGAGGACCTTTCCACCTCGTCTGCCTTAATGAAGGGAGGAAAAGGGGGGTATCACCCGCGACCCGTAGGATTTAACGACGCGCATACTGCTCTCGATACCCTCCTCTTGTGCGGACTGTAGGCCATATCGAGCGAGTTTGCCCGCCGAGGATCGCATTCTCCCGGAAGCACGCATCTCCTTGCATCAACAACGTTCCCCCGCGAGATATCGAACGCAACTTCCGGTGTCACCGCAGGCACTCCGTCGCCGCCGCCGCCGCCGCCGCCGAATCCTTCGCGACGTAGTCTCGTTCCTAGCAAAGTGAAGAGGGAGGTAGCGTGACGCGAGCGAGCTTCAAGAATATACCGTCCTCCTCTTCGAGGAGAATCTTCGCCATACTTGGCGTTCAAGGGCGCGTCAATTGACATGTCCGATTATCCGCTGATAGGACTATCACCTCCGCTCGCGTCACCCTCCTCGTACAGTGCAGTCATCGTTGCATACACGCACGCATACAATAATACATCGCGCGACTTCGCGAGTCTTGTATTCTCGTCTAGTGGCTACGTCTGTCAGTACGACCTGGTGGTGATGGTGACGCCGCTGGTCTGCCGTCTCCTTTTTCCCTCGTGCTCGTCTTATGAGATGTCGCTGGTCGTCCTTGCCCCGTACTTACTCGGTAGAGGTACTTCGCTTCCTCGATCGAACGCATTCCGCAGTCAGCATTTCTCTTCCTTTCTCACGTATTCTTATACGTACGCGATAAGTTTGCCCAAGTGCTCTGAATGACGAGTGAATCGCGTTCTCTTGCTTTGCCCACGGCTCGATTCGTTTCGGTAACATACAGAACGTTCGACGAGCGAGATAGAAATGAGGCTTACATTAAGATTACCAAGAAGTAGCTCCTTAGAAGGAAACATGTGGAAGTATCCCTGCAGATTCAGATGGGCTTCGAATACGTGTGCGAAACAGCATAGCTGTCTATAACATAACCAAGATTCATCAAAATAGGTGAGGGACGCTTTCATATGCTTCTTTGTTGGTATCTTTGTTCAGTCTGCTCGTCGAGTTCGATCGACAAACGAAGAAGGGCGGGAAAGAAGGGGTGAAGGAGAACGGTGGTTGAAGAGAAAAGAAGATGTATAAGAGAGTTGAGGGCAAATTCGCGTCGATAGGCCCCGTGCTTCACTGGCTGACTGACTGACTGACTGACTGACAGAACGACGTTGTTGAACGGATCGTAAAGTATAAAAACAATATGTATTATCAATAATATTGGCATGGTGTTGTTATGGCACGTTCAATTTGCTGCTACACTCAGCGACGCGTTTTTTTCTTCACAGCGACTGTCAAGTTGCTCGCTATACAGACACCGTATAAGACTCAGTCGGATGAGAGAGGGTGGGGAAAAAAAGAAATAGGAAAAACATAGAAAAAACGCGTTGCGAAAGGGAGAGAAGTAAAGGGGATAGAGGAGGGAAAACCATTTTCGCCGATATTCGCGTACACACTCGCGACGTTTATATTCCCGTTTCGTAGCGCAGAAACGCGCGCGATCTTCGGCATTCACTTTCTCTCTCTCTCTCGCTTTCTCTCTCTCTTTCTCTCTCTCGCTCGATCTCTCTTCATTGCACTTTCCCATGCGCCGCAACAAATGCTCCTTTAACATATTTATTTTAT